ACGTACGTGATAATACACATAGTTCAACCGATAATATACCACAATGGTTGACGGAAAGCGGAAAAGAACATAAACTTAAAATGCTCAATGCAAATAAAGCAGTTGGACCAGATAACCTTCACCCCAAGGTACTTAAGGAATTAAGCCAGGTTATAACAAGACCATTATTCCTAATTTTTAAGGAATCCTTAGTGACTGGTAGGGTACCATGTGATTGGCGGAGGGCTACGGTAGTTCCAATATTCAAAAAGGGGGCTAGATGCCAACCAGGGAACTATAGGCCGGTCAGTCTAACATCGGTAGTTTGTAAACTGTTAGAAGGTATAATTAAGGACTATTTGGTAAAATTTGTTAAGGATAAGGGCATAGTTAATGACAATCAGCATGGGTTCAGGAAAGACCGTTCCTGCCTGACTAACTTGCTAACTTTTTATGAGGGGGTAAGCAGAGATATGGATGGAGGGAAGCCGGTAGATGTGGTATACCTGGATTTCTCAAAGGCATTTGATACGGTACCACACAAGCGCTTGCTTCACAAGCTGAGGGCTATGGGCATAGATGAGGTGGTGTGTACGTGGATAGAGAACTGGCTACGGGAACGTGTCCAGAGAGTATCTGTAAATGGCACCTTTTCAGACTGGGCTAGTGTAATGAGCGGTGTGCCTCAAGGATCTGTGCTGGGTCCGATACTGTTCAACCTATTCATTAATGACATCGGGGAGGGAATAAATAGCCATGTTTCCGTGTTTGACGATACAAAAATTGGGAGGGTACTTGAAACGGATCGTGACAATATAACATTGCAGGAGGACCTGGATAAAATAGGGGAGTGGGCAATACTATGGCAGATGAGGTTTAATGTCGATAAATGCAAAGTAATGTACTTTGGACATAAAAATAAACAAATAGGCTACATGGTATATGGTATGCCGCTAGGGAAGTCAGAAATAGAAAAAGATTTGGGGGTCATTGTAGACCACAAACTGAATGGTAGCTTGCAGTGCCAAGCTGCGGTAAACAAAGCTAGCAGGGTCTTGTCCTGTATTAAGAAGGGGATGTATTGCAGGGACAAGTCTATAATTGTGCCTCTATATAGATCGTTGGTTCGGCCACATCTGGAGTACGCGGTCCAGTTTTGGTCGCCGGTACTGAGAAGGGATGTCCTTGAACTGGAGAGAGTCCAGCGGAGGGCAACAAAACTAATTAGGGGAATGGAGGACCAGAGCTATGAGACAAGGCTTCTGACCTTAAACATGTTTACGCTGGAATTAAGGAGATTAAGGGGGGATATGATTTTCATGTACAAGATGTTCAATGGTGACAGCAACATTGGCAACAAACTGTTTGAGATTAACTCCATTACAAAGACTAGAGGCCACCACCTAAAGTTGGTGGAGAAAAAATTCCAGCACAATGGGCGAAGAGGGTTCTTTACAGTAAGAGTGGTTAAGGTCTGGAACTCACTGCCATCGGCAGTGATTTCAGCCAAGAGTGTAGATTTGTTCAAGAAACGTTTGGACAATTTCTTGAGGGACCGTAATATCCAGGGATACCAGTATCCCTAAGAATGAGATGATGCGTGGACCTATATGGGTTGGACTTGATGGACGTATGTCTTTATTCAACCCCAAATACTATGTAACTATGTACCTATGAGGTGGTAGGCTCTTAGACTTCCAGCCTCTCTCCCCTTCTGCTCCTGCAGTCTAAGGTCTTATGAGTCATCGCATCCTGTACATCTTTAGGATCGCTGCAGCGGTGGAGGTGACAGGCTGGAGGGAGCGCTCGAGAGAGTATAACTGTTATTTTTTCACCTAGACACAAATAAGCATAGCAGTGTGGGGGTAGCCCCACTGCAATGGTTAGGAAACATTTTGCCCAGAGTTCTTCTTTAATTTTGGTAAATGAAAACTCAATTTTACCCTTGTAGTAAGAAAACCAGTCATGACTGGGCTTATGTCAGAAACTAAACATTCAGTCTTGCATTAAAACTCTGCAATATTAATTATAAAGACGTATATTTCCCCCTCATTAAGCATTTCTTACTTTGAGTCTGACCTATTTGGAGGTCTTAGGACACACAGACAGATGGTGCTCTGTTACCTGCCTAACCAAACACAATGTCACTTAGCTCATGAGTGCAGAACAGTGGTAAATAAGGTAGCTGTGTATTTGCTTACATTGTCTTATTATTTGTGCAAGTCATGCTATAGCTAGTAGTAGATATTCACATTTAACTACACTTGTTCTGAAATATAGAAGATCTGTTTGGAAGAAGCCTAATGTTACTCTATGGGTACTCTAAAAACAAGATGTGCATCTTGTTTTGCATCAAGGCAGAACCCCCCCCCAAAAAAAAACAAAAACAGAAAGTGTTCCGTTTTGGCGGACCTGTTTGTATGGAACGGAGGTAAGTGAATTTACACGGACATACACTATATTGCGAAAAAGTATTGGGACACATCTCCAAATCATTGGATTCAGGTGTTCCAATTACCTCCATGGCCACAGATGTATAAAATGTAGCACCTAGGCATGCAGACGCTTCTACAAACATTTGTGAAAGAATGGGTCACTCTCGGGAGCTCAGTGAATTCAAGCGTGCAATAAGTCCATCCATGACATTTCCTTGCAACTAAATATTCCACGGTCACCTGTTAGTGGAATTAAAACAAAGTGGAAGCAACTGGGAGCAACAGCAACTCAGCCACGTAGTGGTAGGCCACGTAAAATGACAGAGCGGGGTCAGCGCATGCTGAAGCACCCAGAGCGTAGAAGTCACCAACTATCTGCAGAGTCAATAGCTACAGACCTCCAAACTTTGTGTGGCCTTCAGATTGGCACAACAAAAGTGCGTAGAGAGCTTCATGGAATGGGTTTCCATGGCCGAGCAGCTGCATCCAAACCTTACATCACCAAGTGCAATTCAAAGCGTCGGATGCAGTGGTGTAAAGCACGCCGCCACTGGACTCTAGAGAAGAGGAGACATGTTCTCTGGAGTGACAAATCATGCTTCCCTGTCTGGCAATTCGATGGACGTGTCTGGGTTTGGCGGTTGACAGGATAACGGTACTTGCCTGACTGCATTGTGCCAAGTGTAAAGTTTGGTGGATTATTGTGTGGGGTTGTTTTTCAGGGGTTGAGCTTGGCCCCTTAGTTCCAGTGAAGGGAACTCTTAAGGCATCAGCATACCAATATATTTTGGACATTTTCATACTCCCAACTTTGTGGGAATAGTTTGGGGATGGCCCCTTCCTGTTCCAACATGAGTGTGCACCAGTGCACAAAGCAAGGTCCATAAAGACATGGATGAGCTAGATTGGGGTGGAGGAACTTGACCGGCCTGCACAGAGTCTTGACCTCAACCCGATAGAACAACTTTGGGATGAATTAGAGCGGAGAATGCGAGCCCGTCCTTCTCGTCCAACACCAGTACCTGACCTCACAAATGCGCTTCTAGAAGAATGGTCAAAAATTCCCATAGACACACTCCTAAACCTTGTGGACAGCCTTCCCAGAAGAGCTGAAGCTGTTATAGCTGCAAAGGGTGGGCCAACTCAGTATTGAACCCCTACAGACTAAGACTGGGATGCCATTAAAGTTCATGTACGTGTAAAGGCAGGTGTCCCAATACTTTTGGACCACAGACCTAACATGGGTCTATTTAGTTCCGTTTTTTCCTCCCATGCAAGATGGGGGGAAAAAACTGGACAGACACAAATTACACAAAAGTTGCATCCTTTCCGTACTGTTCTGATGAGCAGGGGATCTGTGTATGGATTCCTTGCTGATCGGATAGGAAATCACCTGTGTGATAGGGGTCTTTCTAGTTCTCAGTTTGGACTACATAATAATTTGTCTGATTGAGTAGTACAGCAAAAGACACCGGGCAGGGTTGACAACATGTTCCACATCAAATCTGTGTGCTGCAGCCCACAAAAGGACTTTGGAATGTAGTGCCTTTCTGGAGGATCTAAGTTTTTGGTACTTGCAAGGTCTGCAAGATAAAACATGTACATGTATTGCAGATATGTACTTTGCCTTGACATACACTTTAAGGAAAAGGGACATCCTTTCGAGGACAGGGAGGTTGTAAGAATCCTCCACCAACTGCGCATGCGCCAAGTGCGCAGTCCCGTAACGCACGGTTACGCACTCTTCAGCGCATGCGCAGACGAGGTCATCCAGCGGAACGGAAACGCGCCAAAGTGGCGCACAGGAAGTGACACATCACACTTATCACTTCCCCTATATAAACCCAGCCTGAGCACAATCATATTGCTGGATTATCTTCAGCTCCCTTCTGTTCCTGTACTTCTGTGATCTCCTGTTTGACTTGTGACCCGGATCTGCCGTGACGGCTGCTACGGGCTCTCGACCTTGGATTTGTTTATTGGATTTCTCTTCTGCCTAACCATTGTGTACCTCGATTGCCCGATTGGAATTGACCCCAGCTTGTTTACTTGGATTTCGGCTTGCCTACTCACACATACAGTCTCCACTCAGGTACGTGACAGAAGTTCACATGTTGGACAGAGTAGGCAACTTGTTTGCAAGAGTCCATCTACATAAAAACAGGAACAACCATCCCTAGCAGGGTTGGGGATCTTGAACACCATCACCAACAATTCTTGCTTTAGTTGTGTAACTCAAACATTGACACTTGGCTCCTACTACAGAGTATTATGGGATTCAATTATGTTATTAGAACAGAGAGGTTTCAGTTTCACACCTTACCATCCTGTTCTTGAACAGTCAATAATTACCTTGGCACATTCCATGGTAAATGAATTAGGGGACTCGGATACCTATGTGGCTATAAATTCGGGGGTATGTTCCTGACGCATTAGAACGTAGGAAGTTACTTGGATAAGAAGTAAAACATCTTCAGCATTACAGAGCAAGTCCAGTTACTACTACTAGCTATTTGTTTACATTGCTCCTACTTGCCTCATTATTTGATAGTTTTTCACACTCCGGAATTAGGAGACAGTGTGAGAGGTCTGGAATTTAAAAGGTAACAGTAGGTGACCTCTGACCCTAATGCGCAAGCTGGAATGCCAGGCTCAAATTAATTCTAAAAAGGGATGGATATAAATATTTGTATGTAAACCTGTTTATTATAACCACTGAACAGTTAATGTTCAGATGCGTGCATAAGTCCAGTTGTGACCCGTTCTGTTTAAGATTACTAATATAAACTCAGCTTCTTTGTAACGTTCAGGACATTTATAACAGCATTATGATTCTCACAGGAAAGGGTGTATTTTTAGAATGGACCCAGTTATCCAACATCTTGAATTTGTGTGATAGGATCATAGATAAAGTGGCCATCATCAAGTGGCCATAAAGGTGTACATCATCTAACCATGTAACCATGCGTACAAAGCTTTCAGCTTTCAGCTAGTGTTGTTTAGCATATGACATATGCATTGATAATATATATTACCAATAACAATTATACTTTACACCATATTTTTTCTTCTTCTACCCAGTCGTAGTGATCTTCTTGTTCCTCATTGGGATTGCGGCTCTATTTCTGGTTTACCATTATTTTCACCGATATAAAGGTTCTTATCTTACCAATGAACCCAAAGCTATAGACACTCCCAGTGCTTCAAAGTCTTCCTCGGCAAGAAAAGAGAAGCCCCTTCCTCAAATTGAGGAGGAAGGAGGGACGGCAGAATAGCCCTAGGCTGTGGGGGAGCAGCGTCCAGGAAGCAGCAGCCATCAGTTCAGGATGTCCAGGAACTAATGCCATGGGCACGTTGAGATACTCCTATTTGTTGGTCCAATGTGTTTTTGTGGACAGTGGTTGGGGGTGAACCACAGAATAACAAGAACAATGGACAATAATAGAGGTATCTTCAGCTGGATCAGTGAAGGAAGAGCAAGGTCTTTGTGGAGTAAGTATCCCATTCATCTTCAGCTTGTTATCTTATCCAACCAACCCTCCAAACTGCACAAGCAAGTGTTAGAATCTGCTTGTTCTACTTGTTGTTGTCTCTGTATTTCTAGTAAAGGATTTAATGATCTTCCATTGTCATTCAGGTTTGAAGGACACAATGTTTTCAACAGAGACTAACCCATCTGATTATATACATGTTTTGAGTATGTTATTAAACCTATATGCTTTAGACTGTTCTGGGTCACCTCTCTACAGGTGCCTATTCAATGGCAAGAATGCAGGCAAAACTTAAAGCATTGACCCCAGAACTTGGTATTGTGCGTTTCAATTCCTGAATTCAGATAACCTTGCCGTTTCTGCAGTGTGACTGCATTTAATATATATTGGTCGACACTCCTCTACTTCTACAACCATAAGGATCACCAAAACAAAATATGCTGACATTCACTGAAATAACCATAATAATCCCTTCTCTTTGAAATTCATTAGTACTTTGTGACTTTGCTGTATGCACCTTAGTAATGCATTATCTACATGATAATGTATGTCCATTGTATGGTCACTGTTAGAGAAAGCAATACGGTCAGATGGCATTAAGTTCGTACATGAGGACTTCAAACACCACCATTTCATTTGTGTAACATACAATATTTCAATGTAACCTTATAAAGGCCAACCAATATGCAGAGATCCAGAAATGTAGGTTGCATTTCTGACTGATATAAACACCCCCCAACACACAACAAACAAACAAGACCTCCGAAATTATTAGTATATAAATCTCTTAAAGGACCACTAGCAGAAAATACAGGTTGCTTTATGTACCAATTTACCAATTTAAGCATGATAGTTTCCAGGAGTAACCAGGGCTATAGATTGTATATTTCAAATGAAATAATTCAACCAAAACGTGAACTTGATTTAGGATTGAGGCTTTTGACAAAAGAATACTTATTCAAGGTCACCTATTTCTGAGGTACACGAGTCACTCCTGCCACTTTCTCTCCTTTCATATGTTCTGTTGCTGTCAGCAGGAGGTCAGAATAATTTGATTTCATACAGAAACAGTGTTAGCAGGATGGAGGAATGATGTTGGAGCCATATGGGTGATTTCCTCAATTATGCTACTAAAATAGTATCCATCTCTAAGACTAACAGCTGGTCACTGGACAGACAGAACAAGTGGCTTCCTGTGTTTACTCTGCAGTGAAACTCAACACCAGTGTTGACATCACATGGGCAGGGAGATGCACATGTAGTTTGAAATGGATTTTAATCTAAAAGTCTAACTAAAGTTAAAAAAAGTTTTAACGTTTTGTTCTTTACTTTTGGAAAAAAGTTAAAAAAAACCATAACAAGTAACCTTTGTAAGCAGCTCCATCGGTGTTATATAGTTTCTCCCAACTCCTGTAGCTGTCACTTTTTCGGGACAGCAGGTACCATTAAGGAAGTTTAAAAATACCATATCTATCAGCGGGATCAACAAGACTCAGACATATAAAAATTGATATGTTTATGCTGTTGACAGACTGAATGATAAATGTTATTTTATTTTTTATTTTGCCCATGCTCAACTTTAAAGGAGTTTGTGCACAGTTCTCACTCTTGCTGACCCAATAATATAATTTTGTCTCAGGCAACAGTGCCAAAATAGAGCTATTCAATTTAGGCTTTTTTTCCCCAAAAGACCCAGAATATGTTCTGAACTTCTAGTACCTATTTTCGCTAATATTCATAGCCTGAGTGGGAGGTATCATAACTTAGGTGGGATAATATTTCAGCCTAATATTCAAGTTTTATAAGTAGGTGACAGTTGGACTGGGTTGTTTCCTGGCCATTTTGAATTGTCATATATGCTACCACAGTCTAGATCTCTTTAGAAAGCGACAGTTGGACAGCATTGAGCATTTCCTGGCCTTTCTGATTTTCTGTTTGGATGCTGCCACAGCCTAGATCTCCGTACAACAATCTCTAAATACACTGCCAGAACAATGACATACCTTGGAGTATACCACTTGTAAACTACAGTTACAACAAAGCTGCTTTGTAAATAATAGAATCAATAAGAATGCTTTCGCAATACAGAGTTATGCAAAAATGAGCAAATCACTTTATATTTAGGTGCACCATTGATTTATGGCTTGCTTGTGACCTGATCTGAAGCAGCTTAAATTAATTTAAGGCGTTTTTTTTTTGCCGCTAAAGCTGAATGAAAACCAGCCATTAATACTGGGCGATACATCTTACTGATAAGTCAAAATGTATTCTAAGGCAAAATTGTGCTGGGTATAACTATAGATGGGCAGTTGTTACATTTTCTTACATTTTCTAGTGTTTACTTAAGATCTTCTGTACAGTTTTCATTTCTACCTATTATAGAAACAATGGGACTTAAAATAAAAGATGCAAAAGAACAAGAAACAACAAGCAATCAGAAATTATCTTTTCACAGCATAGTTAGACTAATGAAAGCACACTTTTAATTGGCTGCCATGGATAGAACATTGCCCTGTGCGCTATACATAAAGCTTGAAGATTGAGTAAGATCCAAGGAGGAAGAGCATGTGTAGGGAGGTTGGGATTTTTTCAATACAAGCCCTTGACACTTTATTTGATTTGATATAAATAACATAAAACAAAGGTTTTGTAGCAGAAAGCCCTTCTCACAGCAATGCCAAAAGGGCAGAAACATGAAATCAAATGACATAATTTAGATCTCATTGGGAATTTATTGCTATTAAAAAATACCTTTGCATTTCAATCTGCTGATGATGTAATTTTCTGAAACTGTCAATAAAAATAATGCAATATGGTACACTGTTGCTATACCTAATGCCCCCTAGAAATATAATTTCCTGCTTGTGTAATTGCTTCACGTATTTTCTCAGAAGTCTTCACTGAGATGCAAGTAAAATTGTAGGCATCCCCTGCGATAAGATTTGATGAGGATTGTCTATTAAAAGGATGCAAACACTGCAGTTTTTGCATTAGAACACTGAGCCTCGCTCAGGTGATTGTAATGAAGGCTGACCCTCTTATTCAGGAATCATTCTGGAATGATGGAGGGTGAAACAAACAGCTATTTTGGGGAAAAAAAGGAGGAAAGTTTCCTAAAATCCATGCAATGTGCACAAAACACCCAGAGGGCATTGTTTTTTTTCTTTACAAAAGTGGAGTTACAAATTAAAATATGATATGTGTAACTGTTTACAGTGATTAAACAGTGCTTATGTATGAAGTGCAATCACCAATCTAACAGATAAAGTAAGATTTTAACTCGATGGTTTCCAACAAGTAGTCCTTCACAATCACAAACTGTTGCATGTCTTTCACCATATTTCCCTCATGTCTCTGTTAACCTATATTCCATTTTCACTTCGAAATGGTACGGCATCCCATGCAGGCATTTTCAGATCCACAAACATAAAATACAAGCTTGCTTCTATAACAGTGAAATTATTAGGATAGCTAGTACCTGTCACAACCAAGGCTCTTATGGGGACTGTCAAGGGCCTAACTTCCAAAATTGGGAGCAAACAAACTTCAGCGATACATGGGCTGTGATAGGTCATTGCTATTCCAATGGGTTCACTTCAAAGAGTTACTGAGAACATTCACAAATTCTAAAAATATACAGTTCTCTAAAATAGCACATATTAACTCAATCGACATGAAAATTATAATTACGTGTGCTCTCTGGTAAGGGTAAAACATAAGGGTTTACATTATTCTATCACAGCTGTGCATTTTACGTGAGCATTGTTTCTATAATCCGTGGTAAGCATTGTATTGCAGGTACTAGTTTTGTCTATGGTTCTGATACCAAAAGACCAGTACGGATAATAATTCTTGTGTGTTTTGTAGATCTACTGCTCCATTTTTAAGCAAAACTCCAGCCAAAGATAATTTACAAAAATAAAAGCAGATTAAAAGTTAAAATAAAAAATAGCATCTGCTGCAATACTTACCATCGATTTGGAGCTGCCCCTGTAGTAGTTATTTTCCACCAGTAGATGGGTTGTGCGAGAGACAGCATGATTAAACTCACTTTCACATGATTGCTGTTTTTATGCAGCAAAAGGAACCTACCCCCCTGCTGCAAGAGAAAAATAGGACCAGGGATGTCATCAGATCAACCAGCAGACCCCTTACAAAAAAAAAAGTGTGTGTGTATATACTGTATATGTATATATATATATATATATATATATTGATATATATATATATGTTGATCCAAAAAAAAAAGTGTGTGTGCATATACTGTATATGTGTATATATATATATACACATATACAGTATATACACACACACTTTTTTTTTTTGTAAGGGGTCTGCTGGTTGATATATATATATGGGTAGGGGGCCTCAGAGAGATGGGAGGAGGGCAGAAAGTGGGCAATTTTAAAATAGACTTCTTTTTCAGCTGTCATTATTCATCTTTCAGACAGTGGGATCTCAGCCCTTTCTGCTGAGAAGACTGGTCACCGCTGCATGCTCTGTGTGCAGTATTCTTCTCACAACCTCTTAGGTTTATTATAGGCATTGCTGACATCATCCCAACCACGCTACTTGATTCAGTGGGAGTGTGCAGGTAGATTAGAAGTGCCCAGAGCCTACCACCCATTCTACCCTTACAAGAGCCCGTGGCGATATTGGGAGATATAATTCTACGGGGCACCCTACATGCTCAGGATGTGATGTAATGCATGCTGAAGAACCCTCCGGTCTGATTGATATTACTGGTCATAAAAACAGACTTTACAGTGTTCGGAAGACAGGTAGGCATATTGTGTAGGAACAGAGAGAGAAAGGGGAGGGGGGGGGGGGGAGATTCAT